GGCGAAAGGGAAAAGATGGTTCCACTACCCCAAAACCAACAACTCTGCCGTTTATATGGTGGCAAGTTCTGTCAGCACAGCATGTCGGCTCACCAATTCTGGGGTGAAAGCAGTCATAGACCTCTGACTGGATTCGCCAAGTCAATACGTTGTTGGTAAGCTAAGTTACATCCCGCTTATAAGTCTTTTTAAGTGGAGGTAACCTTATTAGTCCTGGGTTATAATCCAGGTGGCTAACCACTTACGAACTTGGGGAATTGAACATCCAAGTAGTACCCTCCTGGATGGTAAAGGGGAAACCACAAGCGAACCACCCATTTGCCGACCCAATTTCCGTTTTGAGACATGCCCGAGCTTCTCCCCGTGGTTTGAAGCGTCCTTCCACTCATCACTTGTTTATTTGTTTTTTTCTGGAGTTTCCTGAAACAGTAGTTATATTTGATATACGAAACAGAGTCCGAGCATATGATTATTTGACATAATTTGTGTCCCCGGTTTTTGTGGCCCAAGTTTTGGGCAACTCAGTTAACCCTTAGTTGGTGGTTTGAATTGGTAGTTTGATCTTGGATTTGAACCTCTGTTTCTTGTAAAGGGTTGTTTGTCAGGGGGACCCTGGCCCAGGGCCCGCCCACTTTCAACCCGCAAAGCGTTGTGAACCTAACAGAGCCTAACAGAGCCTCGCAAAGGATACCTTACAGTAGGTAACCATCTATTGTCTTGGTGGCTCCCAGCCATCCGGTTCCTTAGCCTTTAGCTTTTTAATGTTTAGTGGCAGTTTCCATGTAACCCACTAAAAGTTAAACTTTTAGCGGGGGATCTGAGGGCAGCACAGTTTTCCTTTTGCATCTCAAAGGGGCGGTTCCCGCCTTCCCTTGGTTCCTGTTATTAGGTAAATGGATTCACTGGGCTTGGGGCAAACGGGAAACCCCCGGAAGACCTCCAGAGAAGCTGAGCCTCGATCGCTTCTGGGATGTTCAACTCACTTGTTAGTAGGTTATAACCATGGTAACAAGGCAGGGCTGTGGGAAATGACCACTTAACAAAAAGGGCCTCCCAAAGACTATCCCTCCTTATAAAGAGGGGACTCCCCTTGTATCACAGAAGTGGGGAAAATCCCCTTGATCCCACAACCCTGTTACAAGGGGAACAACCCCGGTTGCCCAAAGGTGCAAGCACGGTCATAACCTGCTTCCCAAGTTGCTAATCCCCCCTTTTTCCCCCAGCCAACCCCCAACCCCCAACCCAAGCCTTCCCCCCGAAACCTTCCCTTTTAAACGGTGGCCACGAACCTCCAAATTGAGGCTACTATCGATCGCTGCACGAGCGTGTGCAGCAGATCCGTGCTACTCGGCCGGATGCATCGATTCCTTCGAGGGCCCGGCCGCACGAAGAGTTTCGATCCGAGTTGCGTGGGATCGATTCGGCACGTCAGGTAGGTGGTTGGCAAGCCTTTTCATAACCCACTGAATGAGGACACTTCTAACCATAGGCTTTTGTGGGTTATGCCCATGGCTACTACCCACTTATCTAAATACATCTAAATACCATGCCCCTTGAAGTACTGTGGATGGTTGCGAAATCCGTTTCGCACCGATTCCCCGCTGTAAATGCCAACCAGCGTTACGGTTTCAACCATGGTTTAACCGATTCTCTAGTGTACCGGTGTTACCCACAGTTGTGGTTTTGTCAGGGGTGTCACCTCCCGTTTCCGTTGAGCAGATGATCGAACGATATGGGTCTGTCCTTTTTGAAGGGTACCTCCTTTTGGTCTGCTTTCAAGGCAAACCGAAGAATCAGTCTTTTTCGCGGGCCCCCAAAAAAGGACACAAAGCTATGCCGTCCTTGCCCTTTCTGTTCAGTTACCATGGGCCAAACCCCTGGACAACGGGCGGTTTCTAAATAGGATGGGTGAAGAGAATGAACACGGAATCACCCCCATAGTAATGCTCTGTTTCGCACTATGTTTCGTTCCATGTGCATCGTGTTTTGCATGATGTTCTTATGTGTCCTTGAAATCCAATCAATGCTTCGAAATAGGAACATATCTTTTAATGGCTTTCTGCGCAAAAAGATAAAGCTTGTTGTAGGAAACACACACATACGCGTGATCAAGAATATTTGAAGGGTAAAAACCCCACCGAATAACTGCAACACCATGGCTTCAAGTTGTGTCGTGTGTTTCTCAGTTGCTGCAAGCGAATCGACCTACCCTTTGGTGTCTCTTTTGTTGGGTCCATTATTAGCAGTGGCAACCCAAAGGCGAACCTGATATGTCCAGGTCCTGAGGGGGCAACTGAGTAATGGCAAATCGCAGGGAGCCCATTTGTTTGTCGGGTTCTTTCTGAAAAAAGACGCGGGAGAAACATCAGGATGTACTAGGTCCTGGGGCAAAGGACTTGGACATATCAGATTCATCTTCTGGGTTGCCGCTAAACATGGTCAATGAAAGGGACACCAAAAGGTAGGTCCATACGACAAGTGAGCTTTGTGTCTCAGGAGAAGCGGCAGCTGGAGCGCCTAGAGAGCAAGGCAAATCAACTTGAGGCCTATGAGAAGGCGAAAAGCGCCAAGGCCGGGGCCGGCGGCCGGTTGTTTGCAGGTTCTTTGGTTGAGTATGTTGGTTGAGGTTTGTGGGTAGCGTTTGGATAAACTCTTCTTACTAATTGTTTTGTTTTTCCCCCTTTTCTTTTCGTGTTTGAAATCGCAACAGTTATGTTTTCTTTGAACCAACATGATATGGGATTTCAATAAGTTGGTTTGTTGCATGTTCAACGAACGTCAGGAAAGTGACCCAGTGTTTCCACCTGTATAGTAGGTAACCACTGGAAGCCATCCATGGTAAAACTTAGAGGTACTGTAAGGATCCCTGGCTACCTACTATAGTGGTAACTGGAAGCACTGGGCTGGTTGAATTATTGGCTGGTTGAGTTTATTCTTGCAGGTTCTGCGACTTGTTTTTGTTTTTTTACCGGAAGGGGTCCAGTTGTTTGCCAAGATTTGGGATTGGCGGGTTGGATTGGTTCGGGATTCGATCCCCATCTTTTGACACCCATGGGGAAGGCACCCCGAACTAACAGTAAGGTGACTTTGGCGCATTTTGCCCAGGGATGTTGGGACTTGAGAACTTTTGGCCCACTTAGGTGGGTTTTCCGTATTAAACCACTAAAAGTTTTTAGCTGTTAGCAGGGCTTCGCAGATTTCGCAACCGAGGTGACTTTGGTTCATGTTTTTCCCAAGGAGGCTGCAAACAACACTGTGGTTTAGCCGTGAGGATGCCGGTTCTTCCTTTGGGCAACGAACCCAGAGGGTTTCCAGAGGTCCCTTAGGATGTAAAGAATGGTGGCGAACCATCAGGGGTCAATTGGTACGGAAGGTTCCCTGTCGAAACCCTCAGGGCAAGAAGCTCCCTTACGTAGAAAGATATTTGAAAAAGGTTGGATTTTGAGTTTGATTGGTATCTCTCGAAATGGTCCCCATGGCCCCTACTGAAGGTCACTTTAAACCCTTTGACAGCCATCGGGTCCTGGAAAGGATGCAAGCTTGTGTTTGTTCTCAGAAACCCGCAAAACTCTCAAAGAATGGATAAGATGCAGCTTGTTTTGGTTGTAAAAACCTAAGAAAGGAGGAACCTCGAGGTTTAGGCTTCTTGCCAGCAGACTTAGGTCCCCCAGTAGGGCCCTTTCTTTTTTTGGGGGGGGAGGGGTCCCCTACTAAAATAGACTACAGAAGAAAGGGTACCCTTCTACTGGAGGACCTAGAGACCTTTCGATCTCGCGCAGGAGGTCAAGGCTCAGCTGAAATCCTTAGAGCAGCGCCTCCCGCTCGCATCGCCCGCCGCGAGCGCGGCGAGCTTCCGCGTGCGGTGCGCCCGGCGAGCGCGGAGTGGCACCTTCCTGTGACCGGGGCCCCCTGGGCGTTTCACGGCCAGGTCGAAACCTTTGGTGTTTCCGGCTCGGGTTACTTGGTGGTTCCTTGGGCTTTTAAGGTTTTAGGGTTTAGTGCACTCGGAGGACTTCGGATGCTACAGAAGGCTACCAGGCCAGGGTTGTGTTTATTGGCAAACGTGTTTGTCGTGCCTTTGTTGTTTTCTTTGCTTCCGGAGCTCACCGAGGGGAAGCGCAGCGCGATAATGCACCGAAAGGCCTCGCGCCTTTGCAATCTCTGCCGGCACCGAGAAACGTGGCGCGATCAGGGCGCAATGTCGGGCAAACTGAAACCCACCAACCCCTTCGCCTTGGACATGTTGCATTGTTTAAAGCAAGTATGACCCTTGGTTACCTACTATATGGCAGCATCTCCCCAAATTGGCTGTTTGAATTGTTTTGGGGGTTTGAACCCCTGGTTCTTGTGGGCAAATGGGAAACCACCCCCTAGCCACCAAACCAGCAATCCAAACCACGAAGAGGGAGGCTGAATATATGGCTGTGGTTGTCAAAACCAATGGTACCATTTTGGGGTAGGTGCACCACCCATTTTTGTCTATTTTAGTGGGGATTGGGATGTTCACTAAGGGTACGGGACTTTGACCCATGGCCATATGTAAAGGGAATTTCTGGGTGGGTGTACATAGCTTAGCCCGTGCGGTGCTGCAACGCGAGCTCAAAGAGTTGCTTGGACCGAGGCCGTATGATCGAGACCGCCCCAAGGGAGTTGATCAGATTCAGTTGCCGTTAAAGCAATGGTTTGGGTGCGGGTCAACCACCAGCATATGGACCGCATTTTTTGGACCATGTTGCCACTTACCAGGCATACATTTTGGGTACCCTTTTTTGACCCACAGCCGTTTCGTTCATGTAACCATTGTATGCCGTGGATTGTGATCATCAAAAAACTGAGTCCTGTTGTTGGACATTCTTTAGTGATCGGTTGAACCCTAGGGGCATGGCTTCGTCTTGAACGGAAACCAAAAGGACGAATCAGGGGGTCCCCCTATTTGGACACATACCCATATTCCTGTACAAAAGTTTTCCTTAGGGGCCAAGGAGCCTTTCCCGCGTTAGGCCTGGGTCTTTGAAGAACGCCGCGGCTTGGGCAACTCCTCGAAGCTCATTGCCAGTCCGGGCCCGAGAGCGATACCACTTGGCCACTCAGGAAGTGCGTTTCAGGTGTTTCTTTGAAGTTTGTCGATGGCAACATGTCCCAATCCTTCAAACGCAACCGACGAAGAGTGGGAATGTGTGTTTTCCCTCTGAAGAAATCCAAGTGGTCAAGCGCTACAAGAAAGTCAACTTGTGCAAAGGACAAGTCATCCCTAATTTCGGCTTAAGTCACCTGGACCCCCCGTGTTGATGCCCTTTTTCGGACGAAACGACCTGGAGTCTCCATATGACCCGTGAAAAATGGTTGGTCATCACCCAAAAAGTTGGTTGGTCATTGACCCATTTTTATTTCGGGTCAGACTCGGAGACTCCAGACTGCCTTCGTGCAAACGCCGGATGGCGCGGAGAAGAAAAAAATCCGGCCTCGAAGCTGAGAGCCGGGAACACCTGAGGCACGGCGGTGGGGTACCTGGAGTCTCCGAGTCTGACCCGAAGGAAACATGGTCGGTCCCTGACCCCTAAAATTTGGGGGGTCCTTTTGACCCATTTTTTCCAGGGGTCAGACTCGGAGACTCCAGGTACCTGGGTGTTCCGTCAAGTTACGTGGGTCCTTTGAGGGGGTCCTTTGGAGGGGTTTCTGTCTGCGTCCGCTGGCCGGTCCGTCACGAGGCATGGAGGGTACCTTGGCCACAGACAACACCGGCTTCTCCGCTGAGAAGCTGGCGCAAACCTTGGCGAGAGAGCGAGCGGGCCACACCGTTGAACTTGTGCGTGGCGTTTTTGGTTGCTGGGGGATTTGTTTTTTTTGGGGTCATACTGTGGATGAACGAAATCCTGCACTACCTAAGAAACCATGGGAAACCATTGTTGGTTGGTATTTACAGGGCAATCATCATTCCAGGCTTTCTCAGCTGTTGCAGGATTTCATCCTTCCACAGTACTTGAAGGGGCCATCGATTTGGTACGCCAGGGTAAGTGGTTAGCAAGCCGGGTTTTTTCACCTCGGAGACGAAGAAAACCATGGCTGTGGGTTGTAACCAGGCTAAGTACCATGCCCCAAGTAACCGCTGCAAGCGTTTTGGGGGTCGAACCCAGAACTCGGAGCTAGGGGGTGGGTTTGAGGCAGCGGTTCTTCGGGAGGTTTTGGGCCTGAAGGTTCCAAAGAAGCCCCCGGGGTTGGGGAGACCTGGGCTTATTGGGGTGTGGGTCAAAACCAATGGGATACCATTTTGGGGTAGGTGAATTTACCACCCACTTTAGAACCTATTTGAGTGGGGGTTGGGATGTTCACTGAAAGTACAGGGGTTTTGACCCGTAGCCATTTGTTGGGGGTTTGGGTGAATCAGGTATCGTTTTTGGTTGGGGTTTTGGGGTGAGGTAGGACTGGTGATGATTGGTTGGGGGTTTTGGGGTATCAGAGGGGTATCAGGTAACCAGCTGGTCATTTTGAGGTGGGGTTTCGGGGTTGTGAGGTCACAAGAAAAACCCTTGATTATGATTGGTTGGGATTTGGGTTTGAGCCCTGGTTCTTGTAGATAAATGGACACCACCGCCGGGAGCCCCTCCAAACCAATCCAAACCATCCATTCGGGGGAAGCTGATCATACTGCGGCATCCCCTCAAAGTGATTCTAGGGGTACGTTACCCATTCTTTCCAGGGATCCTTCTTTTCAGGGAACCATCAAAAACTCAGGGGAAACAGATCCGGTTTTGAAGAACAATGGTTGAAAAGAATGGAAAAGCAATCAACAGGCCCATACCAAAAAAAAAACATTTTGAAGTCACGGGGAACCTCCGGGCCTTTCGTATCACAGATCCGTGTGACACAAGTCAGGGTCCAAAATGGTGAACCATTGTTTTCCGGGATTGGTAAATTGAGTCACAACATGTTGGGCTGTCCTGAAAATGGCCATATCTGACTCAGAAAAGAGCAATGATAGCTCGGCGTATTCCTTCTGGGGGCAAGCCAAGCTATAGAGCAAGAGGCAAAAAGAACAATCCTGAAGAGTTTCTTCCGAACGGATACTATCAGCCATTCGAGGTGGTGCAAACGGCACCGCAAAGGGTCCCGTCAGGGGAAGCACTGCCCTTCCCGTAGATTGGATCATGGCCCAAACGAAGAGTCAGGGTTAGGCTGAGCTCCTTGGCCAACTAACGGAATTGGGCAACATGTGCCTTTGCCAGGATTGCCCGAGGGTACTGCTACTCTTACTAGCACTGCGACGACGACGACGACGACGACTACTACTACTACTACTGCTTCCTTCTACTGCAGCTGCTGCTGTGCTGCTGCTGCTGCTGCTGCTGCTGCTCTTATTACTGCTGCTGCTAGGGGTCCGACTAATTGATTCGGCACAAGTTGCGAATGGTCCCAGGCGCACGACGTAGACCAGCTGAACTACATCGCAGCAGGAGAGGGGCCGATCCATCGATGGCTGCCGGCAAGCTCAACATGGGTCCAAGTTGTTTCTTGGTCATCCTTTTGCATTGGGGCAAGTACGCGTTGCAGGGGGCACCAATTCGTCCATTTGGGGCTGGCTGATTTTGCGTGCACCTTTGGTGGGTTGATGTGAAGGGAGACCAAGGGGGCAAACTTTTTTTTTCTTCTTGGGACAAATCGGGTTTTCAGCTCACTGACAGGAGGCGGTGATATTCCCCCGGAGGCTCGGCGGCGAAAGGGTCCTTTCAGGACGCGTGAATGAGAGGTCCTTACTTTTGGTGTGTTGTGTTGGTTTGATTCTCATATTCTCCAGCAAGTTAAATTGGAAAGGTTTTGGGAACCTAGCCGAAGCTGTGTTAAGGAGGATTTAAGCATGTTTAAGGGGCATTCAGGCTGTTTTAAGCTAAAACAAGCCCAATTTAAGCCCACTTGAAGCTTAATTTGACTTTGTGGAGATTTGCCCACTGGTACGGCAAGATCCCCCCTGGAAAAGGCCTTCTGAGACCTCGATTTTGATGATATCTATTCGTGGAGAAGCCTGGGATAAGCCCAGTCTAGGCTTGGACAAGCCCAGTCTAAGCAAATCTAATTTCCTGCAGAAGTTCGTGTAAAAATAGTCTTTGAAAAGCCGCACCCATATTTTTGCTGTTGGTTTGTTTATGTTGATGTTTGATTTCTTTGTTTGTTTCAACATCACCTGTTGGGCGCGCCTTTAGAAGGACATGGTTGACTCGTCCGTGCTGCTGTCCCGTGTTTGTTTTTTTGTGCGACTTCTCGCCGCCCTCCGTTGACTTGCTTCTTGCAGAGTTGTGGCTTTGGACGCAGGTGCTGGTCCTTACCTGCAAGATTGTCTAGGTCCCCCAGCAATTGCTGCCCTTTCTCACCCGTTTCTGTTTTGGGGGGAGGGTTCCCCTAGTAAACTGTTGGTACCCTTATTCTAACATTTCTACTGGAGGACCTAGTTGTTTTTCCATGTTGGTCAATTACCCAACATGGGCTCTGGTTTCCCTTTTGTCTCCCTCTAGAACATTCTAAAACCACGGAAAGGGGTACCAACTTACCAACTCAAAAAGGACCGCCTTAAAGGGGAAATACATCATGTGCGTCAGGGCGCAAAATCGCAGAGGATCTTTTTGCTTGCTAGTTCCTTGGCAGCAAGTTGAAGTCGGTTTATAGTGTTTACCCTATGTATTGTTAGGACCAACCCTGGAAGGAGCGTGGATTTTGGTCTCCTTAGGTCATGTTGATTTTGGATTCATCCGGACCGGTTCCCTTTTTAGTAAGAACATCATCTACTTCAGGGGCACCTTACTTGGTGGCTCCCAGCCATCTCCTTTGCTTTTTAGCCTTGTAGTGTTTAGTGGTGGTTTCCATTTAACCAACTAAAAGTCAAACTTTTAGCAGGGGATCTGAGGGAAGCTTAGGCCGAATCCGCCCTTTCCCTTGGTGACTCATACGTCCTCAAGGGTCGCACGCGCGTTTCGCACGTTTCGCGCGCCAGGCGCTGCGCGCCTTCCGGCAGCTCTCGACGACCTTCAAGGAGCCTTTGCCTCGGAGGGTTTTCATGGTTGTTGTTGGGAAACATTTTACATTTTTGCTTATTGTGGTTTAGTGGGAAATCCCCACTTGGCAGTTTTTTTTGTTTGCTTCCCTTTCAACGTCAACCAAGTTTTGTCTCGGTGGGGAGCGATCCCGAGTCTGGTTCGTCAGCCGAGTGTATCCAGAAACACCCTCCCTCCCGCCAACGTAGCACTGATCAGGGGGTTCCTTTAAGAGGACACTGATCTTCCAGGTACACTCCGGCAGAGGCTATGTTTGTTGGAGGAGGGGTACCTGGTAAAGGTAGGTCGTAGTCAGCAAAAGTAGATCCATTTTCCTGGTAAAGGTACTGTGGATGGACGAAATCCTGCACCAGATTGAAACCATGAGAAACCATTGTTGGTAGGTATTTACAGGGGACTCATCAGAAACCAGGTTTTCTTGGGTGCGAACGGATGTCGTCCAGTAGGTCAGAGAGCCACCCAAAGACCATCTGGTAACCTGCCGTGATCCACGTACCAAAGCCTCCGGAGTGGGTACCAATGGCCCAAACCCAGGTGCAAGCTGAGGGAGTGATTCAAAGGGGGGCCCCTTCTGCGCTTTGAGTTGGGGCAAAGCCAACTTTGCTCCACACCCACTATGGGTGGGTGATTCTCTATGCACCCTCAAACTACCCGGCAAGAAAACGGGGATTTCAGCCGAGATGCTTGGAGCAAGAAACACTGTTTGAGGGAATTGTGAGGGTTCAGGTAGTACTTGTTGGATGCTCAACCAACTTACCAAGTAGGTCATACCCATGGTCCAAAAACTGGACCAACCCAGCTAAGTTGCTTGAACCTCCAAGTTGGGTTTTTCCACTTGCGGGGGCAACACCAACCGAACTCGAGAAGTCCCATTGACTCATGGTTCCATCGGTGGATTTCCCCGAAGGGGTTCTTGGGTGTGCGGCCAAGTTCGTCACTCTTCAGCAGTTCTGTGTGGAGTTCTCCGTCATGTCGGGCGTTGGCCCTGCGATTTTGAACCGGGGTCATGTTCAATCATCATTCAGCTGTGATAAGAAAATAATATGGTACGTTCAAACTAGTTCTGATAACAAATAAAATTACCTGGCGGCCCTTTGAACATGGAGTCATCACCCAAAATATTGGGTTCATTGACCCATTTTTAAAGGGTCAGAAGGAGACTCCAGGTAGTTAGCCCCATGCAGTATGTTAGCACCCCTCCATTTTGGTGCCCCGCTCTTTTCTGTGCTCGTGACTTAGGTTTCAGGCGGGCGGCGCCCGCCGTGCTGTGGAAGAAGACTTTGCCCAGGACTGGAGTCTCCGAACTTGACGTTTTGGTGCATTTCAACCCACCAACAAAAAGGGGACCCGCCCTATTTTGGGGGTGGTTCCAGCTCTCCCTTAAAACATCTTAAAGCCTTTGGCGCATTTTGCCAAGGGATGTTAGGACTTTAACTTTTTGCCAACTCATGGGTTTTCCGTATTAAACCGCTAAAAGTTAAAAACTTTTAGCAGGGCAGCAGAAAGCAACCACACCTGGACGTTCAACTGGCTGGTTGGAAGGGAACCGGACTCGGAGCTGGGATATAAGGAGCTACCAGGAGGTCTGTAAGGACATGGTCAACCAACTTAGTCGGATATGACCATGGTTATAAGTGGACCAACTGCAGTTGCCCTAGTTGTAGCCACTTGTCCCATTGACTAAGTTGGTTGAACATCCAAGACTTCTGGGGCATTCGGAGAACATTGACCCAAATAAGTATATTACTCGAAGGGTCCGATCGATGGAGTATTTGAATGGAGTTCCTCCAAGCAGGTCCTTTTGACACAAAACAAACTCCGGGTGAGCCGGTCCCGGGCTCTGCATACCAAGCCCAGGGATCTTTCAACAGTCGTTTCAACAGGTTCATGGTACATTTTCTCTACAGAAGGATCCCTGGAGGCAATGAAGAAGCCAGGTATCCTTTGACTAGCTGGTGGTTGGGAGGGAGGCAAGGAGCTGGGGATTTTTAGATATTTTTTAAAAGAAGGAGCCAAAGAGCTACCAGGAGTTCTGTAGGATGCCTGGGATTTGGAGCAGCCGTTTGAAAGTGTTCTCTCTGCTTTGCTTCGGATCGGGGTCAGAAAGGCCTTTCAATATGCATTGTCTCACTTCCTGAGTTGCTGGACTTTAGATTTTTTGGGATAACCATTGTAGTGGCAAAAAAAGAAAAGACAACAAATGAGACTGTTTGTGCCAATCCACTCAGGAAGTGATTGTGGCCGTTGGGGTCAATTAGTTGCCAAGGACGCATAGTCTTGACTCTGGCGAGTGTTGACTACGCCCAAAAAACCGTCGGAAGCCGCCGGCAAATGTTCTGGTCAAACCCTGTGAAGCACCTTGGGCGGTTATTCCCGGGTTCATGTCACACAGGAAACGAGCCAAGCCAAACCTTGTCACTCACTAAGTCCTGGTGCACTTGCAACATTTAGGCATTCGCCTTATCACAGAAACGGTGCTTGTTCCCGCACAAAAAATGAGGAGCCCAAGCTTCTTTCCGACCACAATCAAAACCTGCGTAGATAAAGGCCCCTTGTCTTTGGTTCTTGAGGTACCTGATCTACTCTTTGCGATCCATTTTTCAGAAACTCTGGCGCGGGATCCCGTTTTTGTATAGAAGATGATGCTTGAGCAAAACCCCCGGGTTCAAACCACCATTAAAACAATGGAGGTTCAAGGAACCTTCTGTGTATCTAAGCTTTTTCTGGCTCCCAGCCATCCGGTTCCTTAGCCTTTTAGCTTTTTAGTGTTTAGTGGCAGTTTCCATTTAACCCTTTTGCGGGGGATCTGAGCGCAGCCCAGCAACCTTTTATCTAAAGATTGGCATCATCTAAACTGTGTCCTTATCATTCTTCGAATGGGAATCTGTTGAACCCAAGTTTCATGTGTGCTCCACAGCGTACAGCCAGACACTGCTTGCAGGTACGGGCCTTTTTCAACCGGGCGCTCCACGTGCCGGACCGGGGGTTTCGGGGCTGGGGGATGCAGCATGGGCACTTCTTTAAGCTTGGTTATGATCTTCTCGATAGGGCCATTGCGTTTTTTGCCCCGAACTGAACCCGAATCGCCTGAGAGGAGAGAAGGATTGTTTGGGCTTAATGGCTTTTCCACGAGCTCAGGGAAGCGTATGGACATAGCATTCTTTAATCTATGGGTTCATTCCCACACCCCTGTTGATTCCCTACTGAGAGCCAGCCAGTTTTATGCATTCCCTTGTGGACCTTCAGGCAACTCTTCAAACACAACGGGCCTTTGTAGACCAGGTGATCCACCAACCCATCTTGAGATAAAGAGCTTTGCTGGTGTGGCCGCAGTTTTTGATGTCCGTAATGTTATCCCACGTTGAACATGGATTTTTTTAGAGGACCCCCCCGAAAGAGAAAAAGAAGAAAGCAAATATATAAAGTGGATTAGTACTGTCTGGTCCCACTATTCCACCAGGATCAAAGTCACCCCTAAGTGGTAGGTTAAAGGGAATCCCATTTCCTGACTTTGATAATCCCTAAAGAAAGTCAACATGCCCTGCATAGTGCATGGTTAAAAGCAGAAAAAAAGCACCATATGGGATTGGTGGCTTATCTCAGTGGGTTTCATCCATCCCAACTGGTGCAGGACTTGTTCCATGAAAAGGGCGTGTTCCCCAGTGATCCGGCGTCCCTTTACAATCGCTTGCAAACCTCAATAATCCACCAGGGGCACTTGAGTCTGTCTTTTTAGAGTGTACCTTTGGTTGGCGAAATTCAAGGGAAACCGAAAGGAAAAGGATTCGGGGTTAACTTTCAGTTCCGGAGCAGGACTTCTCATTTGAGCTCTCCCGCCTGGGCGACATGACGGCCTTCGATATGTCAGGCGTGACGGCGAAACGGTAGGTCAAGCCGGGTAGTGGGGTGGCAAAAGGATGCCACATCGGGGCAGTGACTGGAAATGATCCTGAGGTCCAACTATCATGGGGCCTGGGGGGAAGGGAGGGGAGGGGCAGGGAGCCCAAAAAATAAGCCCTTATTGAGCCCTTAATAAGCCCTTATTTAGGGCCTTTTGGGGCTCCCTCCCCCCCCCTCCCCTCCCCCCAACGCCCCCATGAAACTAGATGTCGATTTGGGCTTTGCCTGCGTTCTCTTGGGATCGGGAAGTCAAGGAGGATCGTGTACTTTCTGCGGCATCCAAGGGGTGTCAAAGCGGGTGATGCAAAGCGACCAACGGGAGCAACGTGATCCACTCAAAGACCTCAGACAAGACCTACAAGGTCCAGGATGCTCGTGGCTTTCCTTCAGTTGATGCTCGTGTCTCTTGCGTGTTTCTGCGGTTTTGGTGATGTCATACACATCGTCACGCCATTCATGGCCCAGTTGGCCCAAGGCGAATTTCAGGATCCTCAAGATTGTGGAATTGACACATGGGAGCCTCCCGGGCGCCCCGGGGGGTGGCTGCGCCCCAGATTTGGCACGCCGGGTGCTGGGGGCGTGCCTGGGTCAGGCGCGGCCGGGGGGGGTGGTCAGCCACCCCCCGGGGCGCCGGGCGGCAGCGGCAGCAGGGGGTAAGGCACAGCACCAAGCAAGTGGTGCTGTGCTGCTGCGGCGCAGCGAGCGAGCGAGCGAGGGCGGGGGGAGGGGGGGCGCGTGTACCACCGTCGTGCCGCCGGTCTGTCGCCCCTAGGGTGCCGCTTGCGGCGTTGTGCCCGGATTGGTTCTCGCCGAGCAGAAGGTGCGAGACATGCCTTGAAGTCGTTGGGGAAGGGCGGCAGAAAAAGAGAACTGAGGCCTCGTGTGAGTGCCACTGCCTTATGTGGCCCAGTGGATCCCAGCTTCCAGGTAGGTTGCTTCCTTTGGTTGCCTACTTAGGTAGATGGCGTCACTGGGTCAAAGGCAGTATCGGTTTTTTGGGGCAGTCTTCACAGTCATTGTTTGGCAATCGTGTCGGCTATATGCAACTATATATGGTATTCTTGAGCTTGGGTCATACCGAGTTGCCCAGTCTTGGCCGCAGTGCTGGGCAAGACACATTTTCTTCAACAATATGGAACCTTCCCCAAACGGGGGGATTTGTCGTTTCCTTCAATTTCGCTTGAAGAGCACCCAGAAAGGTCCTAAGTTTCATGCCTCGTTGATTCCCCGCCAATTTTCCCAGTTTCGCCCCCTCGATCGCGCTGAGCACCTCAGTTTCGCTGGCCCTGCCCAGACCGCTTGCTCAGGTGCGGCTGCCTCGCTCGAATTGGAAGGCGCGAGGGTTCAAAATAAGCAAAAAAGAGGGTGAAGGGGGCCCGGGCCCTTCAAAGCCAACCCTTTTGGCTCACTCCTGAGTTCCATTTCAGACTTCATCGTCACCCTTGGCGTTTGGACCATTGAGTGGCACACGCCCTTTTGCTTAGCGTTTAGATTCCAAAAGGTGAGCTTTGATTTCTAGATGCCAGGGCAACTGAGACGGGCAGCACCGGTCCCTGAGTTCCGGCAACGGACTTCGTGACTTTTGGTTCTTGCCATAGGATGCTTGGTCATTGGGTCCTTCGGCCTCAAATTCTCCATGGAGTTCTTTAAACGCCGAAACCCTGGGAGAATGGGTACCTGGAGCCTCCTTCTGACCCTTTTTTCAATGGGTCAACCCCATTATTTTGGGTTATGACCCCACTTTTCAAGGTCGGAAGGAGACGTCAGGTGGAAAGAGAATGAGAACGCTGGGTGGATGTGTGTGTGTGTGTGTTGTTTGTTGAGTTGACCCCTCATGGCGGTCGAATGGCAACCCAATATAGCCCCTACCAAAGGTCAGTTCGCAAACCATGTTGCCCTTGACGGGGCCATTGAAAAAAGGCCTTGAGACCCAACTTAGATGACAATCCTGAAAAACAAACAATGGCTATAAGTCGTATGAACCCAACCATTGTCGAAATGGTGGCTTTAGATGATGCCAATCCTTAGGTAAACAATGGTGGCTCCATAGCTTTTGTGGGTTATCTCACCATGATATTTGCAACTACGTGCCTGACGTACCCGATCGCCCCTTTAAGTAGCTAGGTCCCCCAGCAGTGCCCTTTTACCATTTTTTGGGAGAGGGTTCCCCTTCTACAATAGACTACACAGAAAAAAGTGGGTTCCCTTCTGCCCTCATTACTGGAGGACCTAGGTAGAAACCAAACGATGAAGTCCAACCTCTGACTCAGGCTTCACCTTCGTGAAGCAAGCTCTCACGGCAGAAGCGCTGGATGTGGCCCCTCCGTCCAAACGGGCGTGCCTGCTTTCCGGTTGGGCCAACGGGGCCCCAAAGGGTCTAGGGGGTCCAGGGGGTCATGTTTTCCTGTTGAACACGTAGGGAGCCCTCAAAGCAAATCAAAAGGGGATGGACGGCTTTGTGATCATAGGTGTCTTTTTTGGTTGTTTTGCTAGAAAAATAGATGGCCCTGGTTTACCTGGTAGTTGAATCACCTACCAGGGCCATCTGTTTCCCATCTTACAGGACACCTATGTTTGTGATTGTTTTGTTGACCTGTAAGATGGGGACCATCTATATGTCCGAAGAAGATGGGCTCCAAGAAGATTTCGAAATTGAAAGCATGTGATGCTTGGCACTACAACATAAGTGGTCACGGACTAAGCACACAAGAAGCAGCAAGTACCATCCTGTCCATGCTGTGGCTGAGATTGTTTGTTTTGGTTTGGGTTTTGTTGATCCAATTTGAGCCGTGTTGCGCAACATTCGCAGAGATGGCTTTGAGAGCCTTGCAGCATGCAACGGACCAACAGTGCCATGTGTGTTGTGTATATCAGATTTTGTTAGTTATGCGAACATGTATTTGTAGAAGTATACAGCCGCTGAATATATGTAGCTTTGTTCATGCGTAACTGTACCACAGATACATACATATATATATATATAATGCACATATATATATGTCTATGTTTGCACATGCATATCACATATATATATATATACACACCTACCCACACATATGCACAATTATGCATGTATGTATATATATATATAGACATATACGCACACCTATCTACACATATGCACAATTTTGCATATATACATATATATATATATGGTCCCGTGTTCCGTGTTCCTACCCCCCCCCAAAAAAAATGGAGAAAAGGGGGGGCCTGGGGGAAAGAGGGAGGAGTGTAGGGGTTATTGGGTCAAATGTTGTTATCCAACGTTTTAACACCCTTGTTTGATTTCATCCTATATTTTGTTGTAGGGTGTTAGGGGTGGATTTTCTAGGGGCCGACATTTTTTTCATTTGAAAGAGTTAGCCCTTTTAGTAGTTATTATGTTCTGGGGTGTTGGTGGTTCATTTGTTTATTCCTATTCTTGTTCAAAGTCACTTGTTGTTTCCATGTAATCTCTCACAGTATCGTTATTGTTTTCTTGACCTTTCACTCTTAGTTGGTGCTTACTTGTTTGTTGGTGTTTTTTCATTTTGTATTTTCCTACCATACATTTACATAAAGGACATTCTACTTTCAATTGGTTATAGTCTTTCTGTTTTTCATTTATGTCTTCTTTGTTCTTTTCTCTATATTCTTTTGATTTTTGCTTTATTTCGTCTTTATGCTTTTCACGATAAATCTTGTTCTTTTCCAGTATAGTGTCTTTGTTATTCTCTCTATATGTCTTTTTCTTCTCTACAATCTGCTCTTTGTTGTTTTCGTAATACTCCTTTGACTTTTGCTGTATTTGTTCTTTGTGTGCTTCTCTATACCGTTGTTTGCTCTCCAAGCATACATTACATTGTTTTCTTCCCTCGTTGAACTTTTCTAACAATTGAAAGACTTTACATTTGGAACATTGCTTTTTGTCTGTCATTGGTCTCTATATGTTTAAGGGGTTATTTGTTTAGATAAGTTTAAGGGGTTTTATAGGTTAAAAGTTCAGTATAATTATAACATATAAGATGTTACATGTTATTATTATATTATGATTATAATTTCAGTTCAGGATAATAATCTAATTGGTTTGTCTTACTTCTTTCATACATCAGTTTAAAAATAATATTAACATCTCTCACTGTATTCTGAACATTAAACTTTTTACTTTCAATAAATAATTTGATATTTTCTTTAACATCTTCTCCTTTCTCTTGACTATAACCCAACATCCATAATATATCGTAAATCATTTCATATTTTTTCTTACTGATTTTAAGAAACTGTTTAACACAGTCGTAAGGTGGTATTTTATTTACAGTTAGAAATATTAAAATATCATCTTCTACATTTCTATTATTTATTCTTTTTATTTCCAACAGACATTTGATTAAAAATTGATTATCTCTCCATGTTTTACAATTTTTACATATGTCTTCTTCACTATCCATTGAATAGTTAATAATATGATTCACTATTTCATTAGGTAAATTCAATTTATACAATTCCATATTTTCTTTTTTGAAGTGACAACAATCATAGCATTTTTTATCGATATAATTATTGATTCCATCACCGTTCAATTTTCTCTTAATATATAAGGTAATATTTCTTTAAGTAGTTTTGGCTAGGGGGTTACTGGTCGGCTGGTCTGGGTTTCAGGTTTAATTTAAATGTCTTAACCTTCTTGATAGATTATAAAACAATGTTTAATCATATTATAATTAAATATTATGAATAAACAAACATCATATTTCATAATTATTAATTGTATGGATTTCAAATTTGATAAAGTCTATCATCACAAGTGGTCTATTGACTAATCTTATTGTACCCTTTATTTCTTTCACCATCTTTTCTATTGTGATTAGGAGTTCTTCTTTACTTTTCAAGGTATATTGATTGGATGGCATATTACATTTTCCAATAACTGAATCATAATTAAGTTTTACTCTAACATGCATTTTAATCTTTATTTCATCGCTATATCTTATTAGGCTCATAAACTTTTCTGATGGGTTAAACGCGTAAGAAAACGCCTTATCGCCTTTTAATTTTTTGTTGTGTATCTCGTGGTTATACGTTGTAATTGACTTTTCTGGAGTTTTACGTCGGCTGACTACATCATTACTAATAGAAGGTTTCCATGTCCTTTGTAATTCTCTTAAAGCATCACATTGTTTCAGTCTTCGCCACCCTTCACTACCATTAATGTAAGTAGTGATGATTGAAACTAAACCGTCAGGTAAGCTAGCATAATTCTCAACCATAAAATTATTCTCTGACATTTTACCCTCACTCATTTTTCTCTTTATATATAAGGTTTTTTCTCTTTGAGTAGTTTTGGCTAGGGGTTGCTGGTCGGCTGGTCTGGGTTTCAGGTTTAATTTAAATGTCTTAACCTTGTTGTTAGATTATAAAAACTAGGTTTAATCATATTATAATTGAATAATATCATTAAACTAAATCACTCACGCTTTCCATTCACCTATTCCATCCCACCAGAATTCAATAATTCGCATCTGTCCATCTACTAGACTGTCTTCTTTGTTTAGTTTCCGTATCGCTCCTGATAAGATATAGTGGTTAATAATCATTGCATTAAACTTTCCATCACGGTTTAACTTTTTACCACAGTCTTTTATGATGTCTTCATCTGTTAGGTGTTCATACATTTCTTTCATGATGTCAAACCTAACAAATGAGTATATCGCCATCAAGTTTAATCCGCTATTATCCCTAAACCTACTAATGACATCTTTCCAGAATTCTTCGTTTTCATCAACTGGTGGCAAAGGGTGTCTTTTGATGAAATCCTTTATTTTGTTTAACTCTTCATCTAATTCCTTTTTATAACTGTCATTATCATCATCTTCTTCGTCTGATAGCACCAAGTTTGATAAGTCAGCAATCACTCCGACATTTTCTAAATTCAAGTAATGTAATCTTATTTCAGCCATAATTTTCACTTAATATAATAAGTTAATATTTCTTTAAGTAGTTTTTATTTTATGTTAAGGGGCGGGGCTTTATATTGAAAAAATATTTTCTAACAATTTAATATAATGGCGAGATTAACAAAAGACCAAATAATCAGCAACATCTATTACGACTTAGACGAGGGTTTCGGAAGCACACAAGCGACACACAAGAAGGCAAAGGAAGAAGACCCAACAATAACATTAGACGATGTAAAGTCTTTCTTAAAGAAACAACCAAATAAACAAATCAAAAATTATAGAGGTACTAATTCCTATACCGCTCCATTCGCACGATATGAATATCAAATAGACATAATGCATATGTCACCTTTAGCAAAAGACAAGAACGTTCCACAGTATGCTTTAGTCGTGATTGACATCTTCAGTAAATTAGCTGATGTAATACCGATGGAGGAAAGAGACGGAGAGCACGTTTTGAAGGCGTTGAGAGCAAGCTTTAAAAAGATGGGTTATCCGATGTCCGTGTATTCTGATGACGACGGAGCGTTTGCAACTAAAAATCAAGTTCAGGATTTCTTCAACAGTGAAGGAATAAACCACATCGTCACGAAGACCCACGCAAATGTGGCCGAGCGTTTTATTAGAACGATGAAAAACAAAATTCACGATAGAGTTAGGTTTAACAACATGAAATGGACCGATGCCCTAACGCAAGCATTGAAACAGTATAACAGCACATCTCACTCATCAACAAGGATGGCGCCGTCTGAAGCACACAAGGACGACAATGAAATAAATGTAAAGGTCAATCTTAAACTACGAGAAAAAAACAAAAGAAAGTATCCCAAAATAGAGGAGAACGACAAGGTAAAAGTGTTCCAAAAGAAAAGGGGTAATTACACCGACAGAAAGGAGTATAACTCTAAATGGTCTAATAAAATATTCAATATTGATAAAATTGAATATGATATTATGGGTAATAAAACTTACAAAGTAGCAGGAATAAACAAACCGCTTTTGAGACACGAAATTTTGTTAGTTAATGATTAAACGTATTTCTTGGTATCTTCTTTATACTTGACTTGATAGTAATCCAGACTTGATTGTTTAGGTTCTTTTATGATTTTTTCATTCAGTTTTTTAACATAAATGTTGCGTTTATTTTTGTATTCGCTACTGTCTCTATCTACTTCTTTTGCTTGGTAACTGTTATTGTTATTATATGTAGGTTTAATATTCATGCTCTTTAAGATGTTCAGTATGTTTTCATTTTGCTCCAACACTTTTTCTAATCTTGGAAACAACAACTCTAAACTACTGTCAATGTTCGCTAAATGTTCCTCCATATATACTAAATTATAAAACTAAACTTTTAAAACTAAATGTTGCAATTATGTTA